CTTTTCTTTTTTTTGCATTTCTTGTTGCCGTCACCGGTTAGCATTACGCAATTTTTTTTTTTCTGGGTACAACTTTGAGTATATTAACGAGAGCTGAGCTTTTAGCCCTGGCTAAAACTACTAGTGATCATTAGCTAGTGTACAAGATATTAGTCAAACCAGAAACGGAAAGAATAGAGTGACTGTCGAAATCGATAGCGCCAAATGAGGTAAACCACCATGCCAGTTATAAATGCAGGGTAACCTAATTTCAAAGATACGGTATTTGTTCTAGAATAATAGCAAGGGTGGTGTTTTCTTACGGGCCACTAGGCTGTTCACTGTCCTTTATCTTTCCGTAAAATCGTCCAGATGTGCGGCCTTCCTTCTAGATTTCATAGTCATCCCCAGGCTAAACCCGGTACATTAGAATCCAAGATGGCCACATGTTAGAGAATGTGCTTGATCCCGACTATTGCACTGGAAAATTGAGGTCTGTGAACAGTCTAGTGGGCCTCCTGCCAGCAAGCACACTCCACCACCCCTATCCCCAGCCCCACCCTGAGTCGGGGAGCTTGATAAGAGCTGAAAACAGGTACTCGTCGGTTTAATACTATGGGCTACCAGAAATATGAAATATATTAAAAATAATAAGAAATGCAAACTTAAACGACAAACATAAAACAAAACAAAGAGAAAGCTCATAACGACAACCAATTGTTTTATAAATGCTAACCTGAATGGACAGGAGCCTGTTCCTGGAAAACTAAAAAGCTACTATTGTTCATGCACTGGGCACTTATGCATGCATGATTCTTGATTTTGTAACTTGTCAACGAAAACAACAATAAATGTAATAGAATACTCTATTAATAAGATAATTTCCTGCCTTTCAATTTTAGTCATGCTAGGAAAAATGTTTACGCCGCGTAACGATTCCAGATATAAGAATGCGTGACAAAAGCCATTATGTGATTTCAGTTTTGGATACACAGCGAAGACGACTCGATCGGATCAAGCGCTGTAAACAGGTTCGATCACCTACATGTACTATTAATGCGTTCGGCTTAAAGGGTCTCCTTTCCTTAATGACGTTTTATTGTGACAAAAGTCACAGAAAGTTTAAAATACTTAATACATTTAATGAATTATTGTGTTATTGCGGCTTTGCATTAAGACGTTTCATCGTGCATTGGAAACAGTCATACTGAGAAAATAGGCATATTCCGTCGATCGGCTGTGCTGACAAATCGTTTAAATCACAACATATGTTTCTATGTTTTTGGACATTCTCTATTATTATTCTAGCCTCGAATTTTATAAGCCAGGCATTGAAAGCAAAGATCAAAGCAGGAAAACACAAGCAAAAGATAATTTGGACCTCGTCGGCAAGTTAGATTTAGAGGGTCATCTCACATACGGCTCGTCTCCCTTAAATGCTGATCTGTTAAGTGAATCATGTATCCAGAAATAGGGGTTTTAAGTTAGCTGCCCTTGGCATTACTAGTATCCCCGGCCATATCGCGGATTGCGGATTTATATGAATTCGAAATGTATTGTATGTCGTGCGGTTAACAAAAACTCGTCCCGATGATACTATCTCTTGTGGCGAAGTTACAGTACCAGGTTATGTCCTGGAGAAGAAATGATAGAAACAGAGACGGAGGGGGTGTCGCCCTTTTATCCGGAATACTATCAGTTATGAACGTTTATTTTATCTCGAGTGCGAAAGCCTCGAGTGGATTGGCATTAAGGTAATCAAACCCAAGGCTAAATCTTTTATTGTGAGTACGTGGTCAAGGAAATTTTTAAACATTCTGGTGTCTGTCACATCGTAATAAGTGACCATTCTCTTATCTATGGAGTTAGAAAATGTTGTTTTCCCAAAGGGAAACCAAAGATTGTGGAGTCGCGACAATTTAGGATTTTGATGCTAATTCATTCAAGTTCATCTGGAAGGTAATCCAAATCGTGCCTGGGAAATTTGGTCACGTCTGTTTTTAGAAATATGTGACTTCCATGCACCAGAAACGTAAAAGGAAAGTAAGAAATAATTGTGCTCCCTGGCTAACACCAGAGATAAAAAGGTTGATGTTTGAGAGGGACAAACTGAAAAGGGCTGCAATTATCAATAATTCAGATTCTCATTGGACCGAGTATAAGATTGCTCGAAAGGATGTAAATGCTAATATCAGGAAAGCAAAAACTAACTACTATAACTACTTTACCAACAACTGAGATAAATAGAATATATGTTGGAGATAATTCAAGTACTACCCCATTAGTAATCTCTAATGCTCTTAATTATCACTTTACTCAAATTGGGCACAGGTTAGCCGATAATATTCCCCAAACTAGTGTTTGTTTCGAGGACTGCATTACGCCATGAGATTCTAGTTTTACCCTGAACGAGGCTCACTGCGGTGTTGTTTACCGTTTAGTGAGTTCCCTTCGAGTCGACAAGGCTACGGGCCTAGATGGTATTTCTGCAAGGCTTTTAAAAGAAGCTTGTCCTGAAATCGTGCCTTCTCTCACCCATATAATTAACCTATCCATTAGGTGTGGGTATTTTCCAGACTAGTGCAAAATTTCCAAAGTATTACCTTTATATAAGGAGGATATTAAGTCTGATCCTAACAACTATAGACCTATATCTTTTCTACCAGTTGTCAGTAAAATAATCGAAAAGGTTATTTTCAAACAACTTTATGAGTACCTAACTCTTAGTAATTTGCTGACAGTTTCTCAGCATGTTTTAAGACCGATGCATTTTCCTTTGACTGCCTTGCTTGAAGCTACTAACAACTGGTACTTAAATACTGATGATGGCCTAATTAACAGTGTACTCTTTCTGGATCTTAAGAAAGCCTTTGATACGGTTGACCACAGCATATTGTTAAAAGAAACTGCAGCTTTATGGTCTTGAGCCGCATGCAGTTCGTTGGTTCAAATCATACCTATGAAATCGCTTTCAGTGTACTTATGTAAATGGCACTCTATCAGACTACCTTCCTGTTAGTTGTGGGGTCCCACAAGGTTCTGTACTTGGACCCTTGTTGTTTCTCACTTATACAAATGACCTATAAGAATGCGAGCTGTCATCATCTGCACTCATGTATGTTAATGACACCTCGCTTACCCTTTCCGCTTATGACCCCGCAACTCTTGAAGAAAAGTTAAACCAAGACTTGGATGAGGTTCAAAAGTGGCAGAAATCCAATAAACTCATATTAAATGTCAAAAAGACAAAATATATGATAGTTGGAAGCCACTACCGACTAAGGCATTTAAATGGTGACCTAAACGTTACTGTTAATAGTCAACAATTGACTCGGGTGACTAATTATAGATATCTGGGAATAGAGGTTGACGAGGCATTGGGGTGGCAATCCCATGTATATACCATCTGTAAAAAGGTATCTGCAGGTATAGGGGCCTTAAAACGTATTCGTTCCCTGGTGCCTCGCCAAACCCTACTGAAAATATATGATGCTTTAGTCGCTCCTTATTTTGATTATTGCTCCGAAGTCTGGGGATATATGGGAAAAGGCCTGTGTGACAGACTCCAGGGATTGCAAAATAGGGCTGGGAGAATTATAACATTTAGTGATTATAATACAAGATCTGCGATATCCTCCAAGACTTGAGATGGGATACACTTGAGCAAAGACGGTCTAAACAGCTCGCAATAAGTGTTTTTCAATCTCTAAATAACCTTTACCCTAAGGGTTTAAAGAATATGTTTAAACCAACCTCTGGGGTTCATTCCTACAACGTGCGAGGTGCCTCGAACAACATTTTTGTACCAAGGCCCAGTACTGAAGCTGTTAACCGGGCTTTTAGCTATAGGGGGCAGTCATGTGGAATGGCCTAGAAAATGTGCTTAAAGACGAGATAAAACTCAACTCTTTCAAGTCTGCCTTGTTTTTGTCTTGAACCAGGGATTGCCTTGAGGGAGTTGAGATAAAATTTATTTTAGTTATATAAAGTACCTTTAAGGTTGATCGATTTTTGTGTAATTAATTATAGGATGGATTTTCTTAACATATAGATATATTTTAGCATTAATGTAGTTTCTCTGAGAATTTTGTTATGTAAACGGCTCACTGGAAGAGCATTTTTAATGAAGTGATACGGTAAATAAAGCTTGATTGTTGTTGTTGTATTTTAAAATGTATGCGATAACCCAGCGGCAACCAATGAAGTTTGAACAGGATAGGAGTGATATGGTCAAACCGCTTAGATAATGTAACAATGCGTGCAGCAGTGTTTTGTATCAGTCTTAACCTGTTCTACAGGTGTTTAGAAAGACCATATAACAAAGAGTTACAGTTATCGAGTTTAGAGCTAATAAAAGCATGTACTAAAATTTGAGAGGTATCTTCACTTAAGTACTTCCTGATCTTAGCTATGTTCCTTAAATGATACTGACAGGAAACGCAGATTTTGTTAACTTGGTCTGTTAAATCGATACACTGATCTATAATCAACCCCAGATTTCGGGCGGAAGGTTTGGTTTGGATTTTCTCATCAACCACTTGGAAAAACTCTAGAGAAAGCCTGCAGCGAAATTTTGAGCTGATGAGAACAAGTTCAGATTTTCCTGGTTGAGTTTAAGACCATTGTTTACCATCCAACAATCAATGTCGTTTACACACACTCGACACGACGCTTAGCCAAAGAGAGATCATAGCTACAGTCAGTTCTAAACGATATATACAGCTGGGTATCATCAGCGTATAAATGATACTGTAATTTGTGGAACTTTATGATATCAGCAATGGGTGATAAATAGAGGAGATAAAGAAGTGGTCCCAGAACAGATCCCTGGGGTACACTGCGTTCTAGAAAGTGCTGTGTTGACCAATGGTCATTGACCCGAACAAACTGCGAGCGCGACGTCAGGTATGACTCAGAGGAGGAGTGAACGTCTTCCCAAAATGAATTGCGTTTCAAACTAATATATCAAAATTTTGGTGACGTCATCATTCGGTTCGGACGCTTGCACTGGACAAGTCAAAATGGCGTCCTTTGTTTCGGTTGCTGGAGAGTCTTCAAAATCCTTGACCAATTCACCACTGCTTTACGTCCATTGTCTTTCCAAAGACGACTACCCTGTTCGCCCTCTTGATCTGAGTTGTGTGGACCTAACTTGTCGGCATGCTCATGTGAGTTTTATAGATAAAATGGCAGAAAGAAGGGTCGCTCTAATCCCAGTCGCGAATACCCGCTACCGTTTGGTCGATAAACTAACAGTCAGAAGCCCGGTTTTGGTTTCTTTAATCACTACCTGTGACATGAAGGTGAGTTATATGTACCATACATTACTTGAAAGAATTTTGCCGTATATTTTCTTTTGTCCCTGCACTTGAATCACAAGGGTTGCGAATTGTCATTATAGCTAGCTAGATTACAACAGCTTATTTAAGCTTAAGTGAGGCTCACAGTTTTCCTATTTTTTTTTTTAGTTTATAGATCCTAGAGAGGACGATGGCCCGTACTACGAGGGTGCAATTCTTTGGGATTTTGAAGTTGTTCCAGCCCCAACAGCTGCAGTTGTTGGTCGAAAAGCAATCACAAATGATGAGGAAGTTAACGAGACATTGCCTCCGTTGGATTTAGGAAGCGTTGTCAGATCCAATTGTTTTTTTGAAGGCCATCGATCCTGTGTTGTTGAGATGAATCCTGCCGCCGATGGCGAAAGTGTGGACGAAGTAGAGGAACTCAATGACCCTCTTCGAGACTTGTTGGCGTGCGAGGACAACTTAGAAAAAGACAGACAGTGAAAGTGATGATGATCTGCATGACGGAAATGCTACATTTACGAAAGTAACTGTTGAAGAAGAGGTCATTGAATATTTTCCAGTGGTAGGATCGAATTGGGAGGACCGTTACCAGGAAGGTCTGCAGAAGTGTTTTGAAATGCGGGCTAAAAGACAGAAGGTTGAAATGAGAGTGGAACATGAACCCGACAATATTTCTGACTGTAATGCACTCAAATTTGAAGTGCTTTTCAATGGACACTGGTTTATCATAGGATATTGTGGGGTGAAAAAAATTCCCAAATTAAAGAGGGCACTGTTTCATCATCAAGTTATTTCCTTGGAACTGTCACATTTACGAAGAATTTGATATCCAGCTGTCTCTGACTTTAGATTTGCTGCAGGAGTAAACAAACTGAAACTTGGACAGTGGGGAAAGGATGACCCCAACAACAGACATAATTCTCCTATTGATATGTGACATTAATTTCTCAATTCTTACCAGCAATTCATTTTCTTAACCTTTTAAGACAAGTGTTGGAGTTATGTGATTTATTAGCCCCCATTCTCGTTTTTGACCCTTTTTGCTCACGCCACTGATTAGAAGCTTTGGCTGGCTGCAGCGTAATACAATAGAACAGTAGTTTCTTTGTTTTTAACTACTGGAAAAAGTTTTTTTTATTTCTTGAGAAAGCTTTTGATATGTGACATTACTTTCTCAATTGGCCGAAAGAACACAGCTCTGGCCGAGAACAATTTTTTTATTTTATTTTTTTTTATTTTTCTGGAGAGATCCTGATATGGCATCAAATAAGGGGCACTGTATCCAGTATTTTTCATCAACGTGTCAGAACCACTAATACTGTCTCAAATTTAAAGCTGTGAGAATCCTGATGATGCAAAAAAGGGCTTATCCGAGTCCCACTATACACAGGGGGCATTGGTAGCGGATTGTTCATATACTAAACTGTAGCAAAATTTTGTTGAGCAATTTCTCTTATTTCTATAACCTTGTGTAAGATGTGAGTATCTTGCTCAACGTTTCTGTGTTAAAACAAAGTATGAGTTCATAGAAAATTAATAAAACAAATACCCACTATCTTTAATTGTTACTGCGTAATTTCGTTGAAAAGCTAGAGGGCTTGAAAAGAAGGGCTAGAGAAGGGGACTGGGCCAAAATAGCTTTTGCAAAGACTGCTGGGATCATTAGTGTGGAAGCAATGATCAGCTATTGGCCGATTTAATATTCCTATCCCCAGTAATGGTCCCAGAAGTCTTTGTGAAAGTTAACTGATACTTTCTCAGCAGGAAAATCAAGAAGTCTTTTAATTCTAAATGGTACTATTCTGAAAACCTAGAGTGATTTTACTTGACACGAGAAATAGGTTAGTAGAATACTATGCACTATTTTGTGCCAATAATTTATTGTCTAATTCCGTTTATGAGTAACTGATTTGTACTAGTTGTTTTTATCTGTTTCACCGTTCAAGTAAAATCACTCTAAGACTACAACAAAAAAAATTGACAGCAGTTTAGATGTTTTCCTTGTGAGAGTTTAATAACTTTGATGATATTTAACACAAGCAATAGATAGTAAACTAATATGTAGTATTTTAAGAAACTAAATATAATTTTTTAGTAAACCCCATGAAATAATGCCTGGCACACAACCACGTTCTGCGAAGGGCCTTTGTTTTCGTTTGTTTTCTTATAACTATATCACGAGTTAAGGAAAATCCTTCACTAATCGTGGGACCAGGGGGGGGGGGGGGAAGCTATTTCCCATACATTCTTTTAAATGAAATCAAAACGATTTTCTCAAAACTTTCAAACCAATAAGAAGGGGCTTTCCCAGCGAATTTGTTAATGGATCATGCGCTTTACTTCAAAACCTAAGATAACCGGCTTTGAGAAAAAACAAAAACATGACAGTCGAGGGGGGGACTGT